CATGACTTAGCCAGCATGACTGAGGGCGCATATGCGGAGCCCAAAAATCTAACAGATGATCACATGGTTTCTCAGTCGATTTGGATGTTGGACCTAGTTTCAACATGCAAAGTTAGTCGGATAAGATGGATAAGACTAGATGAACAGTGCCTCAGTCGGAACGCGACCCGCTTGTGGCAACCAACGACTTTGGAGATGGCAGGCGTGTGTGCAAACAGGAGAGGCACCTGGTATCAGGACGGGCAGGGCAGTCTGGGTGGCGGGATCCCGGTTGACTTATAATATGTTTTTGTATGTTTTTGTTGGGTTCTTCACTTCACTGGCTTCTTCCAACGAACTGCAAATTGCCCAATGGTGGTTGACTTTTTCTTGGCAACGATTTCGCCTACACTTTCCACCCATGCATTCACAAAGCTTTCAAACTCATACGGGCAGATGGACAGAATCTGAGGTTTACTCGGCCAGATACTCTCCTAGGACCTACAACTCTGCGCTGGTCGCCTGCAGCAAAGGCTATGGGGCCAAGCGGTTTGCGATGATGGTTATTCAGCCTTCGGCGAAGTTGTCAGTTTTTACATGGGGCCCTCTTTTTTGTCGCTTTGCTTTTTGGTTTGGATTTGGATACTTGCGTGTGATGTTTGTTATTTTTGTTGTTCTTGCATCGGCTTCGAGCCTACACCTGAGATTCCAAGCGAACAAAGCGAGGCATTCTATTTTCTAGTAGGAAGAGATGCATTGGCAACTCAGCAGGTATTGAGAGTCCCCCCTTGGTATGATGGTTGGTGGAATGGATCGAATCCCAGCAGAGACACGACACCTTATCACTGGCACAAGATGGTTTCACCCTGTTTTGCCCAGTCGTACATGAAACAAAGACTTGTTGTCCCCTGGTCTTTGTCCTTGAATCCTACGGCTCGCCGGCAGCCGTTTCGGTCTTCTTCTCGAGGAGCTGCAAAACCTCTCACTTTCCATGTGCAAAAGCAAATCATTTAAGGCCTCCAACCCACGAAGCATCATTCATGAGGGAAATGAGTGATGTGTGATGTTCACTTCGGACACTGGGCCGCCTCCAGTCTCCAGTCTCCAGCATGGCGCAGCACCATGCAGTGCCGGCTCTAAGTTAGTACCTCAGGTCATGCTTGGGAAGCTGCCATTCAACTCTTCCACGAGGCTGGATGAACCAGGGGGCAGCCAGAACAGAGTTTTCAGACTTTGATCCCTTCACAGCCAAACGCCTGTGGATTTGGTGGAGTTGTTGATCACCAAGCCATACTGCTCCCAGCCAGGGAGTTCGGCAGGTGGTTACTGTGGTCGTGGTCATATCAGTATAAGTTAGCACCTGTCGGCATTGTCGGCATCCCCACTGGTTGGATTGCTAGTCTCCAAGGAGTCCACTTCAAATCTCTGTTTGACAAGGGCAGGATCTGCTGGCAGTTTGTCATCGTCTGTATTGTACGCACGAAAAACACAAGGGCAGGATCCTAATAAAGCTCTGTTTGGCACACCTGCCAGGCTCTCACCGGGGTGCGTGGCTTGCAGCCTACAGTGCCTTGGAGAGATGGGGCACTTGATGGTGCTGTATTGTCAAAGCGATGTCAGAGCGTCTTGACATGGAAGGTGAAAAGACATCTTTCCCCATGACTGCAATCAATGGCACCCAAACTACACAATTGCCTTTCGTCCATCAGAGGAACATGCATCCCGATTTCTTAATTTGCTCACCAAGTTGTGAACTTGTAAATCATCGACCCTTCATGACCCTTGGCCCAGCCCCAGTGGCTTGCTTCCTCGACCACTCCTTCGACAGGTGGTGACCTTCAATAGTGCGATCTCCGCTTGTGAGCCGTTGCAGCGGTGGAGGCAGGTCGATGAGGAGATGAAAGGGCACAACAGTTGATGCAGCGAATCGTTTTACTATGTTTCTCTTCGACTCTTCAACAAGACTGAAACGCAATAGATGCAGAAACGAGAAGCAGATGGTCGAAGCTTTTGCAGCAAGCAAACAACTTGGATTGAAGGAGCGTAGTTGAAGATCAATACTGTGCATGGTAGGCAACTTTCCTATCAACCCACTCACACAATCTATACTGTATATATATAGGGTAGACTAGCAGTTAGAATTTTTAGTGAGGAAAAAAAAAGCTAGCAACCTAGGACTTGCTAGAAAACTGAAAAAGCAGTTAGAATTGTCTGAAGAGAAAAACCGTCGCACATAGAATTAAAACATCCACATAGAATTAACAAACATAGAATTAAAATTGTCACATGATTGCACGATTACCCGAGTTTGCCAAAACATGAGAGCGTCCAATGACTCGCAGCTTGCGGTGCTTGAGTGAAGAAAGGATTTGAGGAAAGAGTAGGAAGGGCAGAGTGTATATAAAGATAAGGGTAGAACCCCATCAATGCAAGCAAGTGATGCTTAGCTTTCTCAAACAGCAACAATTTTCTATTCAAGGTTTGCGTTTTTTTTGGCCGGCGCGTTTCTAGTTGCAATGAATTTGTCCGAGCTACATTCACAACTGGAGGACGGGTGTTCACAACAAAGTGTAGATTTGGTTTCTAGATGGATGGTATATTATAGGCGACCAGTTTGTTCCTTTGAGAATATGTTTGAACACATAATTTTGAATGCAGTTAGAATTATTTTTAATGTTTAGGATTAGCCTGCCCTTCAAAGTAGCCAATCAGTTCCAAATGCATCTGGAATTCATCGTTTCGACCGGGAAAAAGGAAAGGCAGCGTTTTTGTTGGTCGTTTTTTTGCTGGTAAAGTGCATGGGTTGCATGTATGTTGGATCAATGGAATGTCATTTCTAACTGCATATTTTACTAATTCTAAGTGCATAATCCTTGAAAAGCAATTTTAACTACTAAAAAACGCCAATTGCATTCTATCTGTAGAGAAAAATTTTTAATTCTAAGTGCACCCCTAGAAAATTTGACAATTCTAAGTGGTAGTCCGCCACTATATGTTTATCTCAGATGTGAAGCGTGATTTGTGAAATTCAACAATGTCAAAACGAGGAATCAGGTCTTGAAAAGGGGAAAAAATAGGACCTTTAGCTCAGTGAAGAAAAGGGAGCGCCTTTGCTTGTGTAAACTCTCATGAGACCAAACGAAAGAATGACGATGAAGTTCGTTGAAAACGATCGAGTTGTCATTCGTAAGTTTTAGGAAGGATGCTTCCGAGTCTCATCGATGGAGCGCCTCAAGCCAATTCTTTTTAAGGGAGGGCGGGTGGGCGCGCCTTTAGTTCTACCCCCGCCCATCCCAGTGCATTTATTTGTTCGAGTTTCGAGCAGACCCTTGGGGGAGAGAACAGGACCTGACTCCCCGTCAGCTCAGTGAAAAAAGGGAGCGCACTTGCTTGTGTAAACTCTCAAGAGACCAAACGAAAGAATGACAGTGTGCGCCAGCCCTTGGCCACTTGCAAACAGATCTTCGACAGCTGCTTGTGGCCATGACCTTCTTCACGAAGTGATAAGGTATTCATGAAAGAGTTTTAGGGATAGCTATCCCGGGTGTCTCATTTCATAAGTTGATTCCGTCGCAATCCTTGTTCAAGAAGGGAGGGTGAGGTGGGCACCTCTTGACGGCAGGAAATGCCAAAAGTGCATAAGGGGGGCTTGCCATGTTCGGTGATGAGGCCATAGAGGAGATTCCTGATCTTTTCGATCTGCCAGAGCTGCAACCATTGCATTTGGAGGAAGGTTTTGACTTTTCCTTTTCTGGTGATCTTGCTGCAGGCCAATCCGACCTGTCAGGCCCCGTGGATACTAGTGCAGGACGGTGTGAGGATCATGATTGGGAACAACAAGATTATGATGAGGACCCAGTTGACGAACAGGAGCTTCATGATAGCATGCAAAGTTGGGACGCTGTGCACGATGAATTCCAAGCTTCTTCTAGTGGAACAAACGCTTTGCTTGTGGACCAAACGGACTGGAGTTTGACTGTGAACCATCCGTTTCATCTTTACAAAGCAGATGACCCGTCCTTGAGATTGCCGTGGGAGCAACCGCTCATGCAGGGTGTCTTCCACAGTGGTACTGCGCTTAGTCTGCCTAGAGTTCATGGAATTGCCGTTGAGCCTTCAGTTCTTTTGGATTCAGCACTTGAGCCTGCCGTCAATCTGAGAGAGATTGAACTGTGTCCCGGTGCAGCATATTTGAAAGCTGTTAGTGATATGCCCGACCTTGAGTACTTTGAGAACAAGAGACAACAAACAGAGTTAGCTTGCTCTTGTGGTTGGACATTCTTTCAGTGAATTGGGATGCATCCACAGTGGGTCGACAAGTTCGTGAGGACCTTCGTACGGACCCTACCGGAGGAGACGCAAACGAGACAGTGAGAGCTGCGTTTGGAACAAAGTCACACTCAACCTTGCTGAAAAGGGCTGGCACCATGAGGAGATTTCTCCATTGGTACCAGGACACTTCAGACACCAGAGGACCATGTGCCTGTGCTTTTCCACTTTTGGAACATGACATTTGGGAGTACTTCAAATTCTTGAGAACTTCAAGGATCAATGAGGGCAAAGGCTTTACTACTCCTGCTACTTTTTTGGAGACTGTACGGTTTGCAAAACATACTATAGATCTTGAAGGCTGTGATGACGTTCTGTCATTAAGGCGATTGCTGGGCTTTGCAGCCATCGAGAAGAGGAGCAAAGGACCTACTCGCCAGGCACCTGCACTTGAGTTAGAACACATGCAGAGATTACATTCCATTTTGAACAGCGATGCAAGTGACATTGATCGCCTTGGTGCTGGTTGCATGTTGTTGTGCATCTATGCCAGGGCACGTTGGAGCGACATTAGGTATGTGCATCACGTTGAAGTTGAATCAAAGAGGAATGGATGCTTGGTGGTCTACACCACGGAGCACAAGATGGCAGCCTCAGGCCTGAAGAGAGAGCAATACCTCCCTCTTGTTGTACCATGTGAGGGCATCACCAATGACAATTGGATGAAGTGTTTCCTTGAGCTCTATGCCCGGTTAGGCCTTGACATCCACAAGGTACCTGTAGGCCCTTTGCTACCTGCACCACGGACAGGAGGGACCTTCTGTGCACGGCCTCTGACTACACCGGAGGCTTCCAGGTGGATGAAAGAGCTGTTGAGAGGAACATCAAACTGCGATAACCTCAGGGCCCATTCCTTAAAAGTTACCTTGCTGAACTGGTGTGCCCGAGCAGGGATGGACAAGGAAGTGCGATCAGTTTTGGGGCACCATTGTAGTGCCACCTCAGGCAGTGAGGTGGTGTATGCAAGGCATTTGCAGGTTCGGCCGATCCGAAAGTTGCAGATGTTGCTGCGGTTTGTACGGATTGGCATGAACCTTGAGGAGATTGCAGAAAGAGGCAACATCGCAGGTGTGACACCGGGTTTACAGACACCCGCACCTTTGTTTGGAATTCATGGGGCAGGAGCAGTCACACCAGTTTTTCCAGTGGCCGCAAGTATGCAGGAGAACCCAGTTGAAAAAGCCATCTCACTGGCAAACGAACGGGAGGACGAGCTTAGTGCCAAGGAAGAGTTGGATGATCTTGCAATTGCGGCTGCTTCAGCCGATAGTCTGAGCCTTTTCCCAGGATCCATTGTTGGCACGGGCCTCATTGAGATTGACTCGTTCTCAGGTAGTGAGTCTGAGAGTTCCTCATCTGACTCTGATGAACTGCAGGATCAGCCTGTGGGACCCGTGAAGGTCTACGAGGAGGTTGTGCCGGAGGGGCTGACCTTTTACAGGCATGTTAGGAGCCAGAGAGTTCATTCGGTCAAAGACCATGAAGACAAGACTGCATGTAGGATGCCTGTGAATAGAAATTACAAACTGCTTGACAGGGTCTTGCATTTTCGCTACCCAAAGTGCTTGAAGTGCTTCCCGAAAGCAGAGGGAAGAATTCGGTCACGAGAAGAAGCCGTGGGGGCCCTGGACCAAGCCATAGAGAGAGCACGGAAGCTCCAGAGAAGTTGATTTTCATTAACCGCTGTTTCCTACTAACGCTTGGGAGTCTTGCTGTGTCAACTTTCCTCTGTTAACTCGTCACTCTTCTTTTGTACATCTACCTACTCTACTACTTGTGGGTGAGTTTCCGTGGACGAAGTGTCCAAGTGGCTGGTCAAAGTTTTCCCCAAAGGGGGGGCTGGATTCCAGAGCGGAGAGTGAGAAATGATTGCTTTGCGGAGTGCAGCCAGAAGAAATTCCGGAGTGGTATGAGAGCATGAGTGACTGCAGAAAGCTGCATTGGGCGAAGCGCCCTTAAACATTAATTTGCCGGAGTGGCTCAAAAGTAGTGGTCTTGGAAGAGGACACTTGCAAAAGACCACAAGCAGCAATGAACCTTTCTTTTGTGTTTTTAGGCACGTTTCTTGAAGACAAACTTGGTGAAACTGTTTTCACGAATTTTGCTTGCAAGTTAGTTCTGACTCGATGCAGGATTCTTTTGAGATACTGCTTGCATGGTGTGACGAATTTAACTTGTTTAATTGTGTTTGACTCACCTGCGCAAGGGTTCGCAATGAGCTCAGTGGTGGATAGCGGTGCCCACTTTGACCAGAGACTGCTCGAAAGCGGCATCACCCAGGCAGTACTTGATGCCATTAAGTTGGCAGGTGTGGACACCCTTAGCCGCTTGGCCTTCGCTGTGGGCCAGCCAAACCAGCCTCTGAGCAATGATGAGATCAATCAATTCTTGCAGAGAAGCTTAGGCAGGGCACCCTCACTCCTGGAAACTTCAACGATCAAACGTATTGCCTTCGAGGCTCAAACCTTTCTCGTGGCTTCTTTACGCCAGACATTGGAACAAACGGACGAGACACAACCTCGAAAGATTGCCTTTGCAGAAAGGACAGCTAGGATGGAGGCATTAAAGGGAGCTTTGCTCGGCGTGAACATCTCAGGTGAGTCTGAGCCATCCCACAATTTGTTGGATCGAGCATGTAGCATGTACGATAAGAATGTCATCACCTACCTTGAGCCGAGCACTTGTGTGAGTAGGACTTTGGAGGTTCAGGGTGCCAAGCTCACAAGAGAGCTGTCGCTTGAGAAAGGCTCGTTGGTCTTGAAAAACCAAGACTCGCTGTCAAGTGCAACAGATAGTGAGATCAAGCTGCATTTTGCGCTTCTCCGCCGAGGGATTGCACTCCAGTTTGCAAAACTCATGAGTCATGCGCAGCACTCCGAATGGGTTGTGTTTTTTGTATGAGGCACTTCACCGGGACCCACCACCGGGTTATAGCAGATGCGGCTTGGGACAGCTGATTCAATGTGACAAAGCAGCTTGGTCGAGATTGGGTAGCACGGTACAGCAAGTCCGCCAGGACACAACGGGCCAGTACCCTTTGGGGCTGGCCTTGCTAGCACTTCGTTCTGATCCCTACATTGCTTTGCATCTTGCTCCAGTGGCTAGGGCACAGTCATCCGGTGGCGATTCATGGTCAAGGCGACCTGCTCCATATCAGAGCAGCAGTGGAGACAAGGGTCACAAGGGCAAAGGCAAAGGCAAGAAGGGCTCCGGAAAGGGAGCCAAAGGCACTCCAGCAATGCCAAAGGACTTGCATGGGAAATGGCATCGAACCCCTCAAGGTGAAGCTATTTGCTTTGGATTCAACACGAGTGCCGGATGTCCTGAAAAGGGCGTCAAGCCTGGAGAGAAGTGCCGGAAGGGTTTACATGTTTGCGCAGAGCCACGGTGTCAGCAGAACCATCCGCTGCAGGATCATGGCAAGTGATCACGTTCCACTTGCCTGCCGCGACAGTGGGCAGGTGTCAGTGTGGAACAGGTGTGGATGCTAGAAGTTTTTGCTGGCTCTGCTGTTTTGACTTCAATTGCAAAGCAACAAGGTCTTTATAGCAGTATAGCCGTTGACAAGACCCAGAAGCGAGGTGCCAGAGCAAGCATTGTTCGGCTGGACCTGACACGTGACGTTGATAATAACCTGCTGGATTCTTGGCTTGCTTCGGACATGCTTTTGTGGATTCATTTAGCACCAGTTTGTGGTACAGCAAGCCGTGCTCGGGAAATCAGAATTCATCCTAGCGACCCAAAACCTCTGCGCAGCAATGACCACCCGGACGGGCTGCCCAGTTTGTCCGAGAGCGACACGCGCAGAGTGCAAATCGCAAACCACCTTTTTCGAGTTGCATGTAGGATCCTTGACAAAGCTTCCCGGATGGGAATCTTGGTTACCTTGGAGAACCCCACGAATTCATTGTTTTGGCGCACTTCCTTCTTTTTAGAAGTTTGGAAGAAATGGCGCCTGACTTGCAGCGATTTTCAAGTATGCATGTACGGCGGAGACCGTGACAAATGGACAAGGATTGTGGCAAATTTCGAACAAATTGCTCAGCTCAACATTACATGTGACAAGACGCACAGTCATGCAACTTGGCGATTTTCCACTGATGCTGAAGGAAAGCGTGTTTGGGCCACTTCGCTTGAGAGTCAGTACCCCAGAAAACTGTGTTTGGCTTTGACTCAATGCATCCTTCAACAAGCAGAAAAGCAGGGCTTGGTTCTTCTTCCTAGGAGCTTAGATGATTTGGATTCTCACCCTTTGTTGCAAACACAACAATCGCGCATTGCGGTGGGACTCCAACCACACCGCAAGAAGTTACCACAAGTGGTTCCTGAATTTAGCTCTGTTGTTGTTGCATGTATTTCAAGCTTGACAGATGTTCCTGTTCCGCTCTTGTCGAAGACCACCCATGCAGTGACCCTGACTCCAGTGGAGAGGCAACCTCTAGTTCTCCCTCCTGCTTCACGTTTTCTTCGCTTTTACACCCCTTCTGTCTCCTCTCAAGGGGGTAGTTCAGGGGAGACAGAAAGTGCAACAGGAGCAGATTTGAGTGACTTTTCACTGAGAGCGGTGTTTGGCTTGCCGTGGACGCCGGAGGAGTTTGTTCAGAGAGCATCCAAGGCTGGCCATCCAGCCCTTGCAGATACAATTGTTCCAGAAGACTTGGAGATTGCAATAAAGAGAAACCTATGCTGGAATGATGAGCAGATGGCAAAATATAGGAAAGATTGGTGCAAGCAATGGCTTATGAGGGCAAAGGAGCTTGATGCGGCTGAAAGGCTGGATAGGTCTTCGAGACCCTCGCATGTTCAGTTCAGTACACAGAGCAAGAGGCTGCTTCTCACTCAAGAGATCTTGGAGAGCATACAATACCAGGATGTCGAGGCCCTTGACCTCCTGAGAGACGGAGCAACCCTAGCAGGTGACATTGCCAAATGTCCAATCTTTGAAGAACAGTTCAAGCCATGCCTCATGACATGCCAACAATTGACCGAACAGTAGCAGCGAGTCCCCCGCCTGTCCTCCTTGCCTCGCTTCAAAGCCTTAAGCACCATTTGGTTAGAGCGACGAACTCTCGCTTTCAAATCACTCTTTAACCACGGATAGCCCATGACGTGGTGACCGTCCCGAACCGGCTGCGGCCCCTGAATTCTTCGCCCATTCCGAAGAGTAATGGGGCGGCCGCGGGCTCTGCTAAAGAGCTTGCACTCGGGGGCCCAATGTTCGATGGCTAAACATGGATCGTCCATCAAGTCTGCCAAGGTTTGCTTTCCATGTTGGGTAAAGAAGTTGTCCCCGAAGAACCAGTCATACGGTGGTTGGACTTCAATCTTTCCCACCATGGCTACAGCGTGGCTCAAGGGCGCACGCCGGAGGTGCGTCCAAGAGGAACCAGGCCATCCTGGCCATGACAGTGTCCTCCGGTGATGCCGAAGTAGACAAGTTGATGCTCCAGGAGACACGCTTGGAGTTGGAGAGACAGTGGGCTCGCGGCCCCTATGAGTTGTGCGACCTTCCGGACGGCGCTGTGATATCACGTCGCTTCCCCTTGGCTCAGTCGAACAAGATTCGGATGATAGATGATTTCAGCATTTCTGGAGTGAATGACAGTTGCAATATTCATGCAAAGATAAGTCTGCATATGATCGACACGTTGGGTGCTCTGGCTCGCAAATATTTTGCTGCCAGTAAGAAAGCGGGTGTTGTTGGAAATCTGGAAGCAAAGACCTTTGATTTGAAAAGTGCCTACAGACAGGTTGCAATCCGGCAAGATCACCTGAAGTATGCCTACTTCAGTGTCTACAACTGCGAATTGCACCGACCGGAGATCTACCAGCTGGTGACACTGCCATTTGGGGCCACTCACTCTGTTTACAACTTTCTTCGACTGGCCAGAATGATCCATAGCATTGCGGCTCGTGCTTTATACCTGATCAACACAAACTTTTATGATGATTTCGTGCTCCTTTCAAGACCGGCTGGAAAGGCTTCAGCAGGTCACGCAATGGAAGTGTTGTTCATGCTGCTTGGATGGGAATACGCCCGCGAAGGCAAAAAGGCAACAACCTTTTCTGTGACTTGCCAGGCTCTGGGAGTGGAGTTTGACTTCAGCAGATCTGAACAAAGGCTTCTTCACATCTTCAACACGGAGCAGAGGAGGCAGGATCTGATTTTGAAGATCTCCGAAGTCCTCACGCGAGGCACCTTGACGAAGCATGAAGCATTGGTCTTGAGGGGGCGCTTAGGATTTGCTGACAGTTTTTTGCACGGGCGTCTTGGGAAATTAGTTCTCAAACAGATTTTGGATCATGCATACTCCAGGAAGAAGGAATTGGACAGCGATACGTGTCAAGCATTGTTGGCCATGAAAACACGCCTTGACAAAGGGCAACCCATGACAGTCTCTGAGAACAACCTTAGTCAGTGGTTTGTTTACACAGATGCAGCTTTTGAAAAGGGTAGCTGTACAGGTGGCTTGGGAGCCGTCTTAGTGGATGACCTCGGAAACTGTTTGAAGTGGTTTGGCTTCAGTCTCACCAGGCAAGACTGTGAGGCATTTGGAGCTGGAGCCAAAGAAACGGTTATCTATGAGTTGGAGCTGGCAGCTGCTGTGCTTAGTCTCTCCTTTTGGGCTGCGTGCCTAGCAGGGAACCTTGTGACGTGGTTTGGAGACAATGACAGTGTGAGATTTGCATTGGTGCGTGCTTCTGCTACCGGTTGTTGGGCGGAGGCCTTGATGCGTTTTCACTTGACAGCAGAAGTTGAGCATAACATGAAAGCCTGGTTTGCGAGGGTCCCCACTGAGGCCAACCTCAGTGATTTTCCCTCACGCCTCTGCGAACATCCACTTTTGAAGAAGCAAAACGAATGTTCTGAACAAGCCAGAGCTTCTTTTGAAACCTTGAAAACCTTTGTGACTGAGCTCGTGAGTTCATGCGAGTCAGAAGGGGGTGGTGTGAGCCGCATTCACCCCCGTGCTGAGAAAAGGTCCGGAGCTTTTCTTGAGACACCAAACGCTGAAATGAAAATGCAAGTTCAACCTCCAGGCTGATGCCAAACCCAGCCCAGCCGTCGGTGTCGGCGGGTCCAATTTCGAGATCAGCCTCTGATATTGGTGAGAGTGTTGGGGTCACGACATGTTGTTCGTTTTGTTGAAAGTCAACTTCTCGTGAGAATGCAGTAATTGGGTCCAAAGTCTAAAAACGAATGGTTTCGTTGAAAAAGTACGTTCTGGAAATCACAAAAGCGTTGACAGCTCTCCCACACGAAGTGGCAGATGTGGAAGAGGGGTGCAAAAGACAGTCAATGAACAATGCCACGTCCAGTGACAGTGCAAGAAGAAGGCTTAGGACACGGCAACCACATATCAGCAACTGCTCGTTTCAGCAGCGAAGATTAGAACTTTAGCAGCCACACGTCAACCAAGACCCGCGCCGCAGCAACCAAACGTTCAGTAACTACCTGTTTCAGCGACCAAACAACCGTTCCAGTTTGAACCAGCAGTTTCGTCAGGTGCCCCGATGGGTTCCATAACCGTCGTTAGAATCGGTCACCATCGTGATCCGTTTCAATACATTATATAGTTGTCACCGGTTTATCGTTGTCATTGGTTGGTTGTCATCGGTTTCAAAAGATCACCCTCGGTTTCACAAAGCAGTCATCGAATACACCACATGGTCACCATATACTCGTGCGCCTAAACTTGCGCAGTGCAAAACCTCCATCTGATGTAGCAAACTTTGACTCTTGTCCTTTTGCAAGGTTTCCAGATACTGTGTCCAAGGAACATGTCCGGAAGCAGGCTTTGAATCTCATTTGCCCAATGGTGTGCGTACATGTTGACTATGAAATTTTGATAGAATTTGAAACCAAATTGTAAGATGGCATCATAGTTCGAATGAGTTTGTTTTGCTCGATCCAGGCATGGTTTTATACCATTAACTTTTGGCTTTGCTTTGCACTGCTTCCAGTGGGTTTGACTCCGAATACAGGCGTGGCTGAGATGTTCTATTTTCACATGCGCAAAATTGCATATGGTTGCGGCGCTTGCAGGCCACGATGGTTGCCAGCTCAGAAATGACATTATGGTTGTTCTTTGCGAAATGCACCTTCCAGAGCGTATATAAGATGTGAGTTTTTGTGGTCTTTGTCAAACGTGCCGGCATGCGGCAAGATATGTTTATCAGCAGGCTTCGCTATGGGCTGGCCGTGCAGGGAAGGCAAGGGTAAGAATACAACACTTAGCTACTAGTAGCTTCTTGTGTTGTTCCTAGTAGCGATGGCCTCCAACCTAATAGTTTCTTGTAACCATGTGGTGTGGCCAGGAGAGTGGCGCCAACTTTCAATTCATCCACCGGGTCCACGCCACTGACAGGTGCCGAAGTGGAAGTGAAAGGATCATTGGGCACAGCTGTTGTTTTCTTTCCAAATCAGGAAGGATCGACAGTGCTTGCAACTATTTGAGGCATGGATTGAGTTGTCTTCCAACCTCATTTAATTGTATTGGTGACAGTCGTGAATCATGCCAGCTCCATGCTGATGCTGCTGGAGCAGCAAGTGGAAGCAGATACGAGGTCCGAGACTCACAAATTATATATTGAAATTGAGATACAGTATCTAAATACAACACAATTTTGCACCACTGTCGAAAATGAACCATTCATACAACAAATTCAGGCTTTCATGAAATTCGGAGGTGGTGCAAAAAGGAAACTCTTCAGCGACTCGACACACCCAGCCCTATGCGAACCATAGTGCAGAGTGGCTAGAAAGCCCAAGACTCAGGGATGCAAAGAAAGAGACAAACAGATCATCCAAAAAGACAGTTGATACAGCACAGATCTTCCAGAACAGTATGCAGGTACAGCTCACCTAGCTGAAACTCGCAAGACGTAACCGCGTCTTTGGATTTGGGACACCAGTTTCCAAAACTGGGTGCTGAAGGATCCCACAGTATCACCTCAGTGATTCGACTCACTTGAGTGCCTTCTGACTAAAGTGTTGACGGGTCAAGGGCACAAAAGAAGAGAAGAAGCAATACTTCTTTCAGCTGGTTTCTTTGAACAGGCTGAGGTTTCGCTCTTCTGCAGGTGGAAGGATGCTTTCTAGATTGAGGGAGCATTGCATTCTTGCATACGAGGTTAAGCTTTGCATCCTGTTTGAACTCATTGCGTTTTGGCAGGGCGAAAACACATGAGGCCATTCGGAAAGGCTTCATTCACGCTTGTGGCATCTCTTGACGGCGAGATTGGTATCGGCAATACGAAGCTCAGACTCCAGATACAGGGATCTCGTGGACCCGTCCCGGTCTTGCCCTTATTCTGGATGTTCACTGTTACAACTCTTGCAAAACACACCAGCAGTCTTTTCAGGCCAAACATGCAGCCAACTGGTGCCACGAGGCACTGCCTCCTGAGGCATCTTTGCTTTGTGCGTTTGTTCTTTTGTATGCCGTTTGTGTATTGTCCTTGGGTACAAGATGCTAGGCGTGAATTTTCAGTCTGTTTCACACAGTGGATGATCAAGGCGCCTCGCTTTGGGCATGGTTGCCTTTGTTCTGCTTTGCCGATGGTCATGTGATGGTGCGACTCTCAAAGATAGCAAGAGGTCGAACAAAGTCAAGTTCAGAAACTGGTTGTCTTGGCCAAGGCAATGAGACCTTTGTTCCTGCCAGAGGTGCCAAGTAAACAATAGTAAACAGCACAAAACCAATTGTGCATTGTGAGACTTGCAAGATAGGGATTTCGATGACTCTGCGGGATCTTTATGAATTTGAGCCGAGGCATTGACGGAGACATGTCTCGGAGGGGGCTGCTAGCTGTAGCAGGACCAGCTTTGCTGGGTGCTCTCCTCACGCATTTTTACGGCATTGTGCTGTGCCTTGGCCCATTTCACAAGAGCAAGGTGGCCCCGGAACAGCATCTGCGATGACCCAGGGCATCACAGACGTCGTTGAGTACATGAACAGGCCTGTTTAGCATTGACATGCTGCCAAGTTGATGCTAGTGAATGGTGGGCGACAAGTACGGAAAACTAGCACATAGTTTTGTGCTAAATTGGCTTGTGCATACTGATTTGCGGTGTAGGATTTTGTGGTTAGTGATTGGCAGTGTGTAGTCTTTAGGGGTTCAGGCTCGAGAGAACCTAGATAAAGTCATGCAGGCAACAGCCAGTCAGCCATGGCAGTAAGAAAGCCGCATTTAAAGGAGAAGGAAGAAAAAGATCAGAGAAAAGGCAGAGACAAAGAGGAGGGGAAAGAAAGAAAAGAGGAAACAAGCACAGACACAACAAAGAAAAGCTATAGCCTTCGAACAAGCAGATGATGATACAGAAGCAAGCAAGAAGACAGAACTTGCAGAAAAACAGGCTATCACCACAAGAAGAATTTGGGGGACAAGAAGCTCATCTACCTCGAAGGCACTATATGAAATTGCAGCTACACCACAACAAGTGACAAAAGGACCAGATGAACAACATAGACCAGCAGAGCGCAAATCAAAACACAACGTTGCACAAGAAGCGCGTGAGCTCCTTCAGCAGATGAAGCAATTGAGCCTACAAATGAAGCAAGATCTTGAGCAACTTCAGTCAACAGGAGCCAGCTCTTCTGATCAACTTCGAAATCAGCAAGAAGCAATGTCACTACAAATTGACAAACTCACAGATGTGGCCAAGCGCCACGACGATGAAATAGACGATCTGAGAGCACTGCAAGACTTCACGCACGAGCTTGTCCTGGAAAGAGAGCAGAAAGAGAGCAGACAGAAGAAGATGATCAAATCCTGGCGGCAGAACGCGTACTACTCGGACCGGGTCAGAATCACAGACTGGCTTCTATACAAAGCACAAGTTCAAGACAGCACGAAACAAGAACATGGATTTTATACAGCAGCCAAGAAGTTTACACTCTCACCAGTCACAATTCTCACATTCTCGGACTTAGAGGCACACCAGCGGTTCGAGAAGTTTCCATACACCACTTTCTCCAACAAATGGCCTTTGCACTATTGGGACATGCACGGCAACACAATTCAGCACAGGAATGGAGGATGGGGCAAACTGGTGATTACCAATTACCTTGGCAAAACAGATCTGATCATCAATATGGCCCTCACTACAGCAATGCAAATACTGACAACACACCAAGACACTGGCTATGCAGGCACGACACAGCTTTCACACAGAATCACAGACAAGCAAATCTATGACCTGGAAGCACACAAGGTCATTACAAAAGCCACCTATGACAAAGACCAAGGAGTCGTGGCAATCATTGCGGAGAAGCACCTCGTGGACCTCATTCGCAATTTTTGGCATGATGCATGGCGAACCGTACACAAAGAGCATCCCAGATACCCAACATGTAGCAAGTATCCCTACGCAGTGACTTTTGCTGCCGCCAGACTAGAAGAAAACAAAGAAGACCAGATGGAAGAATGACTACACATCACCAGCAGAAAACAACACTATGACAAGCAGACACATGGCAAAAGCAAGAGGCAACAACAGCGCAGGCAACAACCCCACACTGGCACACGCCATTGGGGAGCACCCCTCCGGAAGAACAACTACGCAAGAACTGATGACAGGCACTTGCCTTCAAGAAGGCGCCCCGGGACAGTGCCCTCTGGGCTGACTGAACAGACTCGGAGTCGCAACCGTTTAACATCAAACAATAACCCTTTTTACTACAAGTGCAGAAGGGCCAAGGTTTTGAACTTTTTACGAGCACAGCGTCGTTGTGCATGGAGATATTTCAAAAGGACGCGACTCCGGGACCGAGCCAGGCAGGTAGCCAAAGCCATTTTGCATGAATGCAGCCTTTCAAAGAGAGAGGCTTTGACAAAAATCGTTCGACAGAAAGTCAGGAAGAAAACAAAACGGTGGTTCCAACGGAACATAGTTCACCTCAAGAACGAATTAAAAACCTTCTTTGCAACACTTAGATCCCATAAGGTTTCTGAACTGAAAGGAGATATGCCAAACTATAAGAAGTTCTCTAAAACCTTTAAACTCAGAGCTAATCAGCAGATCAGAGCTGCCACGTTGAATGTTAGAGGGCTGAGCCAGCCAACGAAAAATGAATCTTTAACTAATCTCATGAAAACGCATGAATATGAGATTCTTCTAATAACGGAAACCAACATAAATACAAGCTGTATTGAGAATTGGGATGGTTATACAGTTTTTTTCAGTACAGGCGTTGATCCCAAGATTCGAGGCCAGGAATGCAAAAAACGAGAGAATGCTGCCATTAGGGGAGCGCAACATAGAAACCCAGAGACCAGCCATCGACTTGCCGCAGATTTTGAGCACGCAGGGTTAGGCATTATAGTAAAGAATGCCTTGTTAAATTCCATTACGCAAGTACACCAAAAAAATGGCCGCATTATGTCCATCACTTTTCATGTCACGGCTTTGATGTTACAATGATACGCGCATATGCCCCACACAGTGGCCGTTCAACAGAGGACAAGGAAATGTTTTACGAACAGTTATCTGAAGAAATTACTTCTTGTCATGGAAGGTATCTCATTGGTGGTGACTTTAATGCTAGGATCCACTACGTACGAGAGGTTGACGCTGATGTTTGTGGTCCGTACATCATTGGGAGAGGAATGGAATACCTTAACACCATGAACGACCAAACGAAAGAAAGCAGGGCACTTTTCTTGGGTTGGTGCAAAATGCATCATCTCAAGATCCTGAACAGCCAGTTTTCGAAACCATTAGACAGGTTGATAACATACAAAGAAAAAATGAATGTTTCTGATTTTGGGCCTCCTTTCGATGCTGAAAGATATGCGCAAATCAACTACTGGCTGACAAATTCGACATGGAAAACTGCATGCACAGGTGCCCAAAGCCGGCGAGACATTCCTTTTGATTCGGATCATTTAGTAGTAGAAGCGCAATTCGAGATGAAACCCAACAAGCGCGCGCAAGAGCCCAAGACGTCTAAGAAATTCCTGAAGCCTACTCTAGCTCAGTGGAATTGTTTTAACGCCGAATGCGCACAAACTTTGTCACAGCAGTCTTTGTGTCTTAGTAAGTTTGTTGAAAGTATCTTGCGCGCTGCTGAAAACAATTTGGAAGCTATACCAAAAGACAAGAAAAACAATATATTTCAAGAAACACATGGGCAAAAATTGACGAAAGAAACCAACTTAGGAAGGACGGAGCGTCTTCGCAGCAGGTACGACACTTGAACAAGGAAATCTACAAAATGGCGCGTAAAGACCGTCGCAATCATCTGAGCAATTAATGAGAACCCTCAGGACCCACACAAGAAAGGACTGTGGAAGGCAGGAAAAGGTTTAAAGAGGAAATTTACATCGCAATATGTTCAGATGAAAAACGAACATGGAAAACATGTGCCTACAATAGAGAGGGCGCAGACCATTGCCAATTACCTCGAGTCAGCTCACTGGAAGAACGATTTAAACGCTGGAATGCCGGATGCTGCGCCAATCCTATTGAATAACGAGGCTGACGAAAATGTCTTCACTCTAGAGGATTTAAATGCAGCATTAAAATCATCTAAAAATTAAAAACAACCAGGCCCAGATGACCTCCAAATGGAATTGCTGAAATGGTTGAATGCTGCCAACCGACAGCTCCTATTAAGGTTGATTAACAACTGGTGGCAAAGTAAGGAAGCACCTACAGAGCTCTTTCTTGCGAGGGTCGTCCCCCTCTTCAATAAAGGAGATACTGACAACGCTGCCAACTATAGGCCCATCTCTCTTCTGAGTAGCCTTTACAAAGTATATATGATCATGATACGTCAAAGAATGCAAAATGCTATTAATGATGCTCTATCCAATACACAATACGGATTTCGGCCTCAGAGATCTACATCCCATGCTATTTATTTGATTCGCAGGCTCCAAGACTACGCCGAGTCAAAAGGTGCCCGATTGAGTCTAGCCCTTTTAGATTAGGAAAAAGCTTTCGATAAAGTGCAACACGATAAACTAATTGTCGCTTTACAAAAAATGGGCTTTAGTCAACATTATTGTGATATCATTCAAGATTGCTATAAAAAGCCAACATTTTTCGTGAAAGATGCTTTCGGATCATCCCAGGTCAAATACCAATCTTCTGGCATCAGGCAAGGATGCCCCCTTTCCCCTTATTTGTTTGTTATTGTGATGTCTTGTGTAGATTATGAGATTCGCTCCAAAATCAGTCGTTGGGTACACACAAATCTGGATTTTGATTTAGTTTACTATGCAGATGATACCATCCTCTTTTCTACTGACAACAGGGCATTAAATGAATTGTTAAAGCTCACGGAAGCTATCTCCTGCAAATACGGACTGCGGCTAAACAAAGACAAGTGTGTGGCGCTACAAACGAACAATGAAGGTTTGGTCCATGAACTATTACCCAAGAAGTTTGAAGCGACTTATTTAGGCAACGAAATTAACAAGGAAGCAAACATTCGACACGAAATCTTGAACAAAATGCAAGAAGTAAGACAAACCTGGTTCAAATTGCTGCCGTACTGGAAGGCAACAAATGCGAACGTGAAATGGCAACTGCTTATTTTTGATGCGGTTGTTCGATCAAAATTGTTATACGGACTTGAAACTATACACCTCACTGACGCCATGCTGAAAAAAATTGATGCCTTCCAACTACGGTGCTTGAGGAAAATCCTCAAGGTTCCGTCAACATGTATAGACAGAAGAAACACAAATAGAGAGGTTCTGAATAGATGTACAGCGCTGGCATATCCAAACCGAGGCGACCGACGTGAGTTCGAATTGTTCAGCAAATCGTATCTCCGTAGGAAATCTAAATTATTGGGTCATGTACTCAGGGCTAGCCACGACGATCCTATGCGCCAAATTTCTTTCCAGCCCGATTGTGCAATCAGAGTTTTGTTATGGGAAAAAACGAGTCGGTCGCCCGAGACAAAACTGGCTGCGTTACGCCAAAAAACATACTTTTGAACATATT